TGTGTCATGTGTTCAGTGGTGTAGACCTCATGGTGTCATGTGTTCAGTGGTGTAGACCTCATGGTGTGTAGACATGTCATGTGTTCAGTGGTGTAGACCTCATGACCTCATGGTGTCATGTGTTCAGTGGTGTGTAGACCTCATGGTGTCATGTGTTCAGTGGTGTAGACCTCATGGTGTCATGTGTTCAGTGATGTAGACCTCATGGTGTCATGTGTTCAGTGATGTTCAGTGATGTAGACCTCATGGTGTCATGTGTTCAGTGGTGTAGACCTCATGGTGTCATGTGTTCAGTGATGTAGACCTCATGGTGTCATGTGTTCAGTGGTGTGTAGACCTCATGGTGTCATGTGTGTCAGTGGTGTAGACCTCAGTGATGTAGACCTCATGGTGTCATGTGTTCAGTGGTGTAGACCTCATGGTGTCATGTGTTCAGTGTCACGTCAGTGGTGTAGACCTCATGGTGTCATGTGTTCAGTGATGTAGACCTCATGGTGTCATGTGTTCCAGTGATGTAGACCTCATGGTGTCATGTCACGTGTCCAGTGATGTAGACCTCATGGTGTCATGTGTTCAGTGATTCATGGTGTCATGTGTTCAGTGCCCTAGATCCCATGGTGTCACATGTTCAGTGATGTAGACCTCATGGTGGCATGTGTTCAGTGGTGAAGAACTCATGGTGTCATGTGTTCAGTCGTAGACCATGTGGTGTAAGGTGAGTGGAGTAGACCTCATGGTGTCACATGTTCAGTGTTGTAGACCTCATGGTGTCATGTGTTCAGTGATGTTTACCTCATGGTGTCATGTGTTCAGTAATGTAAACCCTCATGGTGTCATGTGTTCAGTGATGTAGATCTCATGGTGTCACCTGTTCAGTAATGTTAACCTCATGGTGTCACATGTTCAGTGGTGTAGACCTCATGGTGTCATGTGTCCAGTGGTACAGACCTGATGGTTTCATATGTTCAGTGGTGTAGACGGAATGCTGTGATGTGTTAAGTGGTGTAGACCTCATGGTGTCATGTGTCCAGTGAAGTAAACCTCATGGTGTCATGTGTTAAGTGGTGTAGACCTCATGGTGTCATGTGTCCAGTGGTGCAGACGCCATGGTGTCACGTGTTCAGTGATGCAGACCTCATGGTGTCATGTGTTAAGTGGTGTAGACCTCTTGGTGTCATGTATTAGTGGAGTAGACCTCATGGTGTCATGTGTTCAGTGGTGTAGACTTCATGGTGTCATGTATTCAGTGGTGTAGACCTCATGGTGTCACTTGTCCAGTGCTGTAGACCCCATGGGGTCATGTGTTCAGTGATGCAGACCTCATGGTGTCATGTGTTCAGTGCTGCAGACCTCATGGTGTCATGTATTCAGTGATGCAGATGTCATGGTGTCAAGTGTTCAGAGGAACAGACCTCAGGTGTCATGTGTTCAGTGATGCAGACCTCATGGTGTCATGTGTTCAGTGGTGTATACGCCATGGTGTCATGTGTTCAGTGATGTAGACCTCATGGTGTCATGTGTTAGGTGGTGTAGACCTCATGGTGTCATGGGTTGAGTGGTGTAGACCTCATGGTGTCATGTGTCCAGTGGTGCAGACCTCATGGTGTCATGTGTCCAGTGGTGCAGACCTCATGGTGTCATGTGTCCAGTGGTGCAGACCTCATGGTGTCATGTGTTCAGTGATGTAGACCTCATGGTGTAATGTGTCCAGTGGTGCAGACCTCATGGTGTCACGTGTCGAGTGGTGTAGACGCCATGGTGTCATGTGTGTATTTAGTGGTGTAGACCTCATGGTGTCATGTGTTCAGTGGTGTAGACCTCATGGTGTCATGTATTCAGTGGTGTAGACTTCATGGTGTCATGTGTTCAGTGGTGTAGATCTCATGGTGTCATGTGTTCTGTGGTGTAGACCTCATGGTGTCATGTGTTCAGTGGTGTAGACTTCAGGTTCTCATGTGTTCAGTGGTGTCTAACCTCATGTGTCACATGTTCAGTGGTGTAGACCTCATGGTGTCATGTATTCAGTGATGTATACCTCATGGTGTCACGGGTTCAGTGGTGTAGACCTCATGGTGTCATGGGTTCAGTGGTGTAGACCTCATGGTGTCATGTGTTCAGTGGTGTATACCCATCATGGTGCCATGTGTTCAGTGGTGTATACCTCATGGTGTCATGTATTCAGTGATGTATACCTCATGGTGCCATGTGTTCAGTGGTGTAGACCTCATGGTGCCATGTGTTCAGTGGTGTAGACCTCATGGTGTCACGGGTTAAGTGGTGTAGACCTCATGGTGTCATGTGTTCAGTGATGTATACCTCATGGTGTCATGTGTTCAGTGGTGTAGACCTCATGGTGCCATGTGTTCAGTGGTGTATACCTCATGGTGCCATGTGTTCAGTGATGCAGACCTCATGGTGTCATGTATTCAGTGATGTATACCCTCATGGTGCCATTTGTTCAGTGGTGTAGACGTCATGGTGTCATGTGTTCAGTGATGTAGACCCATGGTGTCATGTGTTCTGTGGTGTAGACCTCATGGTGTCATGTGTTCATTGGTGTAAACCTCATGGTGTCATGTGTTCAGTGATGTAGACCTGATGGTGTCATGTGTGTATTAAGTGGTGTAGACCTCATGGTGTCATGTGTGTGTATTAAGTGGTGTAGACCTCATTGTGTCATGTGTGTATTAAGTTGTGTAGACCTCATGGTGTCATGTGTTCAGTGATGTAGACCTGATGGTGTTATGTGTTCAGTGGTGTAGACCTCATGGTGTCATGTGTGTATTAGTGGTGTAGACCTCATTGTGTCATGTGTTATTAAGTGGTGTTGACCTCATGGTGTAATGTATTCAGTGATGCAGACCTCATGGTGTCCAGTGTCCAGTGATATAGACCCTCATGGTGTCATGTGTTCAGTGGTGTAGACCTCATGGTGTCAGTGTGTATACATCATGGTGTAGACCTCATGGTGTCATGTGTTCAGTGATGTAGACCTCATGGTGTCATGTGTTCAGTGGTGTAGACCTCATGGTGTCATGTGTTCAGTGGTGTAGACCTCATGGTGTCATGTGTCCAGTGGTGTAGACCTCATGGTGTCATGTGTTCAGTGGTGTAGACCTCATGGTGTCATGTGTTCAGTGGTGTAGACCTCATGGTGTCATGTGTTCAGTGATGTAGACCTCATGGTGTCATGTGTTCAGTGGTGTAGACCTCATGGTGTCATGTGTTCAGTGGTGTAGACCTCATGGTGTCATGTGTTCAGTGGTGTAGACCTCATGGTGTCATGTGTTCAGTGGTGTAGACCTCATGGTGTCATGTGTTCAGTGGTGCAGACCTCATGGTGTCATGTGTTCAGTGGTGTAGACCTCATGGTGTCATGTGTTCAGTGTGTAGACCTCATGGTGTCATGTGTTCTGTGATGTAGACCTCATGGTGTCATGTGTTCAGTGATGTAGACCTCATGGTGTCATGTGTTCAGTGATGTAGACCTCATGGTGTCATGTGTTCAGTGGTGTAGACCTCATGGTGTCATGTGTTCAGTGATGTAGACCTCATGGTGTCATGTGTTCAGTGATGTAGACCTCATGGTGTCATGTGTTCAGTGATGTAGACCTCATGGTGTCATGTGTTCAGTGGTGTAGACCTCATGGTGTCATGTGTTCAGTGGTGTAGACCTCATGGTGTCATGTGTTCAGTGGTGTAGACCTCATGGTGTCATGTGTTCAGTGATGTAGACCTCATGGTGTCATGTGTTCAGTGGTGCAGACCTCATGGTGTCATGTGTTCAGTGGTGTAGACCTCATGGTGTCATGTGTTCAGTGATGTAGACCTCATGGTGTCATGTGTTCAGTGATGTAGACCTCATGGTGTCATGTGTTCTGTGATGTAGACCTCATGGTGTCATGTGTTCAGTGATGTAGACCTCATGGTGTCATGTGTTCAGTGGTGTAGACCTCATGGTGTCATGTGTCCAGTGATGTAGACCTCATGGTGTCATGTGTTAAGTGGTGTAGACCTCATGGTGTCATGTGTTCAGTGGTGTAGACCTCACGGTGTCATGTGTTCAGTGGTGTAGACCTCACGGTGTCATGTGTTCAGTGATGTAGACCTCATGTGTTAAGACATGTCACCAACATCACTGGTAGTCCAGATCATTCAAAACTGATGAAATGTGTTGTTGTTTTTTTTCATTTAAGTTTATTATCAAATTAACAGTTACAATAATCATCATTTACAATTACAAACAATGTAGAAAATAGTGAGTGAGATTTGTTTTACACCACACTCAATAAGTCGAGTACAAAGTCTGTAATAACACAGTGGGACCTGATTAGATCCAAAAGCTGCCATCATGAAAATTTCTTTGAATCTTCAAAAGAACCAATGTCACTCCTTCTCAAAGCTCTGCACAAAGAATGTGGAGAACAAAGGTGTTGCTCGCATCTGACATTGATACGGGTAGACACAACAATCCAGCAAGTGATGTCAGTGATGATCAACGTCACTTGTGTTCGGGATAACACACTCTGACGATACGGAGTCTGATGTCCCACTGACATCTCTTACATCAAGCCCACATAGTTTACATCCTGAAAGTCCATGTTGTCCCGTCAGGCAAGTTTCCTTCACAGATGTAGTGATATAATGGATCATACCTGATAAGTCCCACCTGGTTACCATGGCAATAGGTATATGATGTTGTCCATGACCTGAAGCATGTTTTCCTTCTCTAACATGCCTGATAATTCTCACATGGTTACCATGGCAATAGGTATATGATGTTGTCCATGACCTGAAGCATGTTTTCCTTCTCTAACATGCCTGATAATTCTCACATGGTTACCATGGCAATAGGTATATGATGTTGTCCGTGACCTGAAGCATGTTTTCCTTCTCTGACATACCTGATAATTCTCACATGGTTACCACAGCAATAGTTACATGATGTCAAAAGTAAATATTTTGGCAGCATATAAAGTATGGTTATATAAAAATATATATTTTTCCATTTAAAACTTAATGAAAATTTAGTAAAATATGTTGTTTGCCAAAATCTTGGCATGTGAGTATACTCATGCCAATAATGGTTGTCACCCCCTTCACCCTTTTTTTATTGGAGAGGGTGTGTGTGTGTGTGTGTGAGTGTGAGTGTGATGGGTTGGTGTGGGTAGGGGGGTGACAACCATTATTGGCATGAGTATATGTAGACACTGAGTACTTCAGCTGCTCTTGTCGACCCGGTCTGAAGCTTTGGTCTTCCACTCTGTGAATCCACCCTGAAGCAAAACACAAACTCATGAATATTTCAGTTTCTGAGACTGTTATATGTGTGGTTATATACTGAACTGCAAAAGAAACGTCACCTTTCAAAACCAAATGCCAAATTTTGTTGTCACAAGGTGGTGTTTATATTATGTTTGTACAGTTTTGTTGACATGTTTTTCAATCCAAACTGACAGTTATTACCAACATCAGTGTGTTTTCTGATGAAAAAGCATCTCGAAAAAGCATCTCGACAAAGCACACCTAAAAAGACAGACGTGGTAAAATGTTCCGCATGACATTCATGAAAATGAAAATGCATGTGCATACCGTGACCCTACCAATGAAAGTGAGTCCCAAACTTGCCTGAAATCGTTATTGTTTTGACACAATCGCCATGCCATGACTTACAAGATATCAGAGGAACCTAGGGACAATTGCAATTTTGGCCAGACTGCACGGAGGGTAGCCAGTAATTAAATTATTTTAATGTTCATGTTTGGCAGTCTACCGACTGCAGGAGCGGTTATCAGGCCACTAACAGCATCCAAGACCATCTACGCAGTGGACGACCTTCAGAAACATCACAACGTCAAGATTGTGTCCATCTGCAGGATCGCTTTCCCAGAGCAACAACTCACCAGACCATTGGGACTCACAACAGACCCATTAGTGTTGATACAGTGCATCAAGGTTTGCGTCACAGGCCATACCGTGGTCCTGTTCTCACCGCTTGTAACTGCCCAAACTGACTGCAATGGGCAACTCAGTATCGAAACTGGTGTTCTCGACAATGGAGAACTGTTTTTTTCTGAAGAAAGCAGATATTGTGTTTCGACAGTCGATGGCAGAGTGACAGTATGGTGAAGACATGGGGAACGGTTTTCCAATGAGTGTTTTGTTGAAAGAGACTTGTGGGGTGGTCCAAGCATCATGGTTTGGGGCGCAATCGATCTGAACCAGAGAGTTGGCCTCATGGTGTTCGAGAATTTCAGTCCAGGATGAGGAAATGGCATGACATGTGCTCACTGTATTGACTAAGTCATAAGACCCCACATTGTACCACATTTTGGATGTCACAGAAATCACAGAAATCTTCCAACAAGACAACGCTCGTGCCCACACTGCCAGAGCAACATTGGACTTCCTAAGACAACATGGCATCCAAACTCTACAATGGCCTGTGACTCATGATGTCCCGAACATGCTCTGTAGGATTGAGACCAGAGCCAACAGATATATAAGGTGTGGCAGGTGAACTCACGTGGAAGACAGCGACGTCAGTGTTGCCGCACAGGTGAGCAGCGAAAGCCAGAGAGCAGGACGACATCCCGCTGTTACAGTGGGTGACGATCGGCTGTGTCAGATCTACACCAGCACCCGCAAACACTGAAACACACACATAGTCTGCAGTCACACTGTTATATCACAGCTGACACACACACATAGTCTGAAGTCACACTTATATCACACCTGATACACACATAGTCTGCAGTCACACTGTTATATCACACCTGACACACACACAGTCTACAGTCACACTGTTATATCACACCTGATACACAGTCTGCAGTCACACTGTTATATCACACCTGACACACACATAGTCTGCAGTCACACTGTTATATCACACCTGATACACACACTTAGTCTGCAGTCACACTGTTATATCACACCTGATACACACACTTAGTCTGCAGTCACACTGTTATATCACACCTGATACACACACTTAGTCTGCAGTCACACTGTTATATCACACCTGACACACACATAGTCTGCAGTCACACTGTTATATCACACCTGACACACACATAGTCTGAAGTCACACTGTTATATCACACCTGATACACACATAGTCTGCAGTCACACTGTTATATCACACCTGACACACACACAGTCTACAGTCACACTGTTATATCACACCTGATACAGTCTGCAGTCACACTGTTATATCACACCTGACACACACATAGTCTGCAGTCACACTATTATATCACACCTGATACACACTCTTAGTCTGCAGTCACACTGTTATATCACACCTGATACACACATAGTCTGCAGTCACACTGTTATATCACACTTGACACACACTTAGTCTGCAGTCACACTGTTATATCACACCTGATACACACACTTAGTCTGCAGTCACACTGTTATATCACACCTGACACACACAGTCTGCAGTCACACTGTTATATCACACCTGATACACACACTTAGTCTGCAGTCACACTGTTATATCACACCTGATACACACATAGTCTGCAGTCACACTGTTATATCACACTTGACACACACTTAGTCTGCAGTCACACTGTTATATCACACCTGACACACACTTAGTCCGCAGTCACACTGTTACATAATATCTGACACAAACACTTAGTCTGCAGTCACTTTGTTACATCATATCTGACACACACACATAGTCTGCAGTCACACTGTTATATCACACCTGATACACACTTAGTCTGCAGTCACACTGTTACATCATATCTGACACACACACTTAGTCTGCAGTCACACTGTTATATCACACCTGACACACACACTTAGTCTGCAGTCACACTGTTATATCACACCTGACACACACACTTAATCTGCAGTCACACTGTTATATCACACCTGACACACACACAGTCTGCAGTCACACTGTTATATCACACCTGACACACACTAAGTCTGCAGTCACACTGTTACATCATATGACACACACACATAGTCTGCAGTTACACTGTTATATCACACCTGACACACACACACTTAGTCTGCAGTCACACTGTTATATCACACCTGACACACACTAAGTCTGCAGTCACACTGTTACATCATATCTGACACACACTTAGTCTGCAGTCACACTGTTATATCACACCTGACACACACACTTAGTCTGCAGTCACACTGTTATATCACACCTGACACACACTTAGTCTGCAGTCACACTGTTACATCATATCTGACACACACACTTAGTCTGCAGTCACACTGTTATATCACACCTGACACACACTTAGTCTGCAGTCACACTGTTACATCATATCTGACACACACACTTAGTCTGCAGTCACACTGTTATATCACACCTGATACACACTTAGTCTGCAGTCACACTGTTATATCACACCTGACACACACATAGTCTGCAGTCACACTGTTATATCACACCTGATACACACTTAGTCTGCAGTCACACTGTTATATCACACCTGATACACACATAGTCTGCAGTCACACTGTTATATCACACTTGACACACACTTAGTCTGCAGTCACATCATATCTGACACACACACTTAGTCTGCAGTCACACTGTTATATCACACCTGACACACACTTAGTCCGCAGTCACACTGTTATATCATATCTGACACAAACACTTAGTCTTCAGTCACTTTGCTACATCATATCTGACACACACTCATAGTCTGCAGTCACACTGTTATATCACACCTGACACACACTTAGTCTGCAGTCACACTGTTACATCATATCTGACACACACACTTAGTCTGCAGTCACACTGTTATATCACACCTGATACACACACTTAGTCTGCAGTCACACTGTTATATCACACCTGACACACACACTTAATCTGCAGTCACACTGTTATATCACACCTGACACACACAGTCTGCAGTCACACTGTTATATCACACCTGACACACACTAAGTCTGCAGTCATACTGTTACATCATATGACACACACACTTAGTCTGCAGTTACACTGTTATATCACACCTGACACACACACACTTAGTCTGCAGTCACACTGTTATATCACACCTGACACACACTAAGTCTGCAGTCACACTGTTATATCATATCTGACACACACTTAGTCTGCAGTCACACTGTTATATCACACCTGACACACACACTTAGTCTGCAGTCACACTGTTATATCACACCTGACACACACTTAGTCTGCAGTCACACTGTTACATCATATCTGACACACACACTTAGTCTGCAGTCACACTGTTATATCACACCTGACACACACACATAGTCTGCAGTCACACTGTTAGATCACACCTGACACACTTAGTCTGCAGTCACACTGTTACATCATATCTGACACACACACACTTAGTCTGCAGTCACACTGTTATATCACACCTGACACACACACTTAGTCTGCAGTCACACTGTTATATCACACCTGACACACATTCAGTCTGCAGTCACACTGTTACATCATATCTGACACACACACTTAGTCTGCAGTCACACTGTTATATCACACCTGACACACACACTTAGTCTGCAGTCACGCTGTTATATCACACCTGACACACACACTTAATCTGCAGTCACACTGTTATATCACACCTGACACACACTCATAGTCTGCAGTCACACTGTTATATCACACCTGACACACACACTTAGTCTGCAGTCACACTGTTATATCACACCTGACACACACACTTAGTCTGCAGTTACACTGTTATATCACGCCTGACACACACACTTAGCCTGCAGTCACACTGTTATATCACACTTGACACACACACTTAATCTGCAGTCACACTGTTATATCACACCTGACACACACGCTTAGTCTGCAGTCACTCAGCTTGATCTGTATCTCACTGCCAACCACGACACAAACTACAAGTCTCATTGTCACTTAAGACACAGTCTACTAGCTACTGAGAGTGGTCATGTGGGTTTCACATGGGCTTCTAGAACATACGTTTCTTCACCTCCTCCACAGACTTCATCTCCTTCCTCTCTTCATCCATCAATGACGACAGCGGGATGTTGCGAGCGCCAGGAATGTGACCTGCATGACAACCAAATCCAGGTGAGTTCTGTGACTTAGTAAATGTTTGACGCCATTCTGGGCCAACCAGTGATGGATGGTGTGAGGAATGGTCCAAGTCATTAACCACCTAGTACTCTTGTCTGTGTCATGGGAATCACAGGTAACAAATAGCAACTGTATGTCATAAACATTGACTTGAATGACTGAGTGTCAAGGGTCTCTGATGTGGAGGATTAAGACGTCACACTCCACCAGTGTATGATGCTGCTAACATCAACCACTGCAATGTCTGGCTCGGGCAGATGGAATACAGAGGTGTGCAGCAGCAAACAATAAAATAACAAACGCTATATTCATCACTGATTTGTTTGATCAACTCCAACAATGTGTCAATCACTGGGTTGTCTGGTCCCACTGATTTATGAGGGTAAGTCAAGCAGTGTGGTCACTGATGTGTTTGATCAACTCCAACAATGTGTCAATCACTGGGTTGTCTGGTCCCACTGATTTATGAGGGTAAGTCAAGCAGTGTGGTCACTGATTTGTTTGATCAACTCCAACAATGTGTCAATCACTGGGTTGTCTGGTCCCACTGATTTATGAGGGTAAGTCAAGCAGTGTGGTCACTGATTTGTTTGATCAACTCCAACAATGTGTCAATCACTGGGTTGTCTGGTCCCACTGATATATGAGGTCAAGCAGTGTGGTCACTGATTTGTTTGATCAACTCCAACAATGTGTCAATCACTGGGTTGTCTGGTCCCACTGATTTATGAGGGTAAGTCAAGCAGTGTGGTCACTGATTTGTTTGATCAACTCCAACAATGTGTCAATCACTGGGTTGTCTGGTCCCACTGATATATGAGGGTAAGTCAAGCAGTGTGGTCACTGATTTGTTTGATCAACTCCAACAATGTGTCAATCACTGGGTTGTCTGGTCCCACTGATTTATGAGGGTAAGTCAAGCAGTGTGGTCACTGATTTGTTTGATCAACTCCAACAATGTGTCAATCACTGGGTAGTCTGGTCCCACTGATATATGAGGGTAAGTCAAGCAGTGAGGTCACTGATTTGTTTGATCAACTCCAACAATGTGTCAATCACTGGGTTGTCTGGTCCCACTGATATATGAGGGTAAGTCAAGCGGTGTGGTCACTGATTTGTTTGATCAACTCCAACAATGTGTCAATCACTGGGTTGTCTGGTCCAAGTGATATATGAGGGTAAGTCAAGCGGTGTGGTCACTGATTTGTTTGATCAACTCCAACAATGTGTCAATCACTGGGTTGTCTGGTCCCACTGATATATGAGGGTAAGTCAAGCGGTGTGGTCACTGATTTGTTTGATCAACTCCAACAATGTGTCAATCACTGGGTTGTCTGGTCCCACTGATATATAAGGGTAAGTCAAGCAGTGTGGTCATAAAACACAGTAGTAAAACATATGATGTGTCATAGACAGTGGTTGATGTATGTAGATTTACTAATCTATACTGGATACACCCTGTCGTAAAGTCTCTTTGTAACAACAACGCCCTTCCCTTCAAAGGTTTAACTGCCAATACATTGATTGATTGCTCATTATTGGCTAACTAAATTACTTTTTTAAAGAATGGCGGACATCATGCAATTAGTTACCAGGTGGGCTATCTTGGGTGACCAATGGGACTATACACCAATGTGAAAAAACCTGAAACGATAGATCACTTTTTCGCATATTAGACTGTTACAAGACACGTGACATGTAACAGGATACCTTGTCAGCTGCAGATGAATGGCATCTCATTCCTTTATGTAGATATAGATGGATACACTCCCCGAACAAGGTAATAGCCTGATATTGTTGCTAATACTTTGGTCTGTTTAAATTTTAATCTTTGCATTTTTTAAATTTTTTAAAAATTTTCATATGTTTTCATAGATTTCATATGTTGATCAGTCTATACTTATACTATCAATTACGCATGAGGGTGGCGCAGCAGAAGTAACGAAACAGTCATGAATTCTGGGATATCATCCGGGTACTCACTGGAGAAAAACAATAACAAAAGCAACAACCATTCCACGGAAATTGCTCTGGATCAGTGGCCCTGTAACAATGAGGCGAGTCAAACCTCGTCAGTCAGTCCACTGTTTCAAGCAGGTTTTGGATGCCACTACTGCAGCACTACTACACACCCTGTACATGACCAACACAAAGCACTGAATAGTGTAACCACTACTGCAGCACTGCTACACATCCTGTACATGACCAACACAAAGCACTGAATAGTGTAACCACTACTGCAGCACTGCTACACACCCTGCACATGACCAACACAAAGCACTGAATAGTGTAACCACTACTGCAGCACTGCTACACACCCTGTACATGACCAACACAAAGCACTGAATAGTGTAACCACTACTGCAGCACTACTACACACCCTGTACATGACCAACACAAAGCACTGAATAGTGTAACCACTACTGCAGCACTGCTACACATCCTGTACATGACCAACACAAAGCACTGAATAGTGTAACCACTACTGCAGCACTACTACACACCCTGCACATGACCAACACAAAGTACTGAATAGTGTAACCACTACTGCAGCACTGCTACACATCCTGTACATGACCAACACAAAGTACTGAATAGTGTAACCACTACTGCAGCACTGCTACACATCCTGTACATGACCAACACAAAGCACTGAATAGTGTAACCACTACTGCAGCACTACTACACACCCTGCACATGACCAACACAAAGCACTGAATAGTGTAACCACTACTGCAGCACTGCTACCACTACTGCACCTACTGCACATGACCAACACAAAGCACTGAATAGTGTAACCACTACTGCAGCACTACTACACACCCTGCACATGACCAACACAAAGCACTGAATAGTGTAACCACTGCTGCAGCAGCACTGCTACACCCTGCACATGACCAACACAAAGTGCTGAATAGTGTAACCACTACTGCAGCACTACTACACACCTTGCACATGACCAACACAAAGCACTGAATAGTGTAACCACTACTGCAGCACTGCTACACACCCTGTACATGACCAACACAAAGCACTGAATAGTGTAACCACTACTGCAGCACTGCTACACACCCTGCACATGACCAACACAAAGCACTGAATAGTGTAACCACTACTGCAGCACTGCTACACACCCTGCACATGACCAACACAAAGCACTGAATAGTGTAACCACTACTGCAGCACTGCTACACGCCCTGCACATGACCAACACAAAGTGCTGAATAGTGTAACCACTACTGCAGCACTACTACACACCTTGCACATGACCAACACAAAGCACTGAATAGTGTAACCACTACTGCAGCACTGCTACACACCCTGTACATGACCAACACAAAGCACTGAATAGTGTAACCACTACTGCAGCACTACTACACACCCTGCACATGACCAACACAAAGCACTGAATAGTGTAACCACTACTGCAGCACTACTACACACCCTGTACATGACCAACACAAAGCACTGAATAGTGTAACCACTACTGCAGCACTGCTACACACCCTGTACATGACCAACACAAAGCACTGAATAGTGTAACCACTACTGCAGCACTACTACACACCCTGCACATGACCAACACAAAGCACTGAATAGTGTAACCACTACTGCAGCACTGCTACACGCCCTGTACATGACCAACACAAAGCACTGAATAGTGTAACCACTACTGCAGCACTACTACACGCCCTGTACATGACCAACACAAAGCACTGAATAGTGTAACCACTACTGCAGCACTGCTACACACCCTGCACATGACCAACACAAAGCACTGAATAGTGTAACCACTACTGCAGCACTGCTACACACCCTGTACATGACCAACACAAAGCACTGAATAGTGTAACCACTACTGCAGCACTGCTACACGCCCTGCACATGACCAACACAAAGCACTGAATAGTGTAACCACTACTGCAGCACTGCTACACACCCTGTACATGACCAACACAAAGCACTGAATAGTGTAACCACTACTGCAGCACTGCTACACACCCTGCACATGACCAACACAAAGCACTGAATAGTGTAACCACTACTGCAGCACTGCTACACACCCTGTATATGACCAACACAAAGCACTGAATAGTGTAACCACTACTGCAGCACTGCTACACACCCTGTACATGACCAACACAAAGCACTGAATAGTGTAACAACAGTTACCATGCTCTGCATATTTCTCGGTGCCCCTCGAGTCACAAACTTGGATCTTCTGTCCTGAAAGGGCCTGATTAAACTCCTCAAATGTCCGATACAAGGAAGGGGTCCATTTTGCCTGGAAGTTGCCAACCTGGAACACAATATGACATTCCTGTAGTAACTATTACAGATCATGTGTGTAAAGCAAAAAAGGTGGTGTCAGGTGAGACAAGGCATTGTAAGAATGTGTTGTCAGGTGAGACAAGGTGATGTAAGTTGAGACATGGTGATGTCAGGTGAGGTGAGACAAGGTGATGTAAGGTCAGACAATATATGTCAGGTGAGGTGAGACAAGGTGATGTCAGGTGAGACAAGGTGGTGTCAGACGAGGTGTGACAAGGTGGTCTCAGACGAGACAAGGTCATATCAGGTGATACGTGATATCAGGTGAGACAAGGTGATATCAGGTGAGACAAAGCGATGTCAGGGGAAGTGAGACAAGGTGATGTAAGGTGAGACAAGGTGATGTCAGGTGAGGTGAGACAAGGTGATGTCAGGTGAGACAAGGTGGTGTTAGGTGATTCAAGGTGGTGTCAGGTGATACAATGTGATATCATGTGAGACAATGTGATATCAGGTGAGACAAAGCGATGTCAGGTGAAGTGAGACAAGGTGATGTCAGGTGAGACAAGGTGATGTCAGGTGAGACAAGGTGATATCAGGTGAGACAAAGCAATATCAGGTGAAGTGAGACAAGGTGATGTAAGGTGAGACAATATATGTCAGGTGAGGTGAGACAAGGTGATGTCAGGTGAGACAAGGTGGTGTCAGACGAGGTGTGACAAGGTGGTGTCAGACGAGACAAGGTCATATCAGGTGATACGTGATATCAGGTGAGACAAGGTGATATCAGGTGAGACAAAGCGATGTCAGGGGAAGTGAGACAAGGTGATGTAAGGTGAGACAAGGTGATGTCAGGTGAGGTGAGACAAGGTGATGTCAGGTGAGACAAGGTGGTGTTAGGTGATTCAAGGTGGTGTCAGGTGATACAATATGATATCATGTGAGACAATGTGATATCAGGTGAGACAAAGCGATGTCAGGTGAAGTGAGACAAGGTGATGTCAGGTGAGACAAGGTGATGTCCGGTGAGACAACACAAGGTGATGTCAGGTGAGACAAGGTGGTGTTAGGTGATTCAAGGTGGTGTCAGGTGATACGTGATATCATGTGAGACAATGTGATATCAGGTGAGACAAAGCGATGTCAGGTGAAGTGAGACAAGGTGATGTCAGGTGAGACAAGGTGATGTCAGGTGAGACAAGACAAGGTGATGTCAGGTGAGACAAGGCATTGTAAGAATGTGTTGCCATGTGAGACAAGGTTATATGAGATGAGACAAGGTGATGTCTGGTGAGAGAAGGTGATGTCAGGTGAGACAAGGTGATGCCAGGTGAGACAAGATGATGTTAGGTGAGACAAGGTGATGTGAGGTCAGACAAGGTGATGTCAGGAGCAGAGCTGAGACAAGGTGATGTCAGGTAAGACAAGGTGATATGAGGTGAGACAAGGTAATGTCTGGTGAGACAAGGTGATGTGAGGTGAGACAAGGTGATGTCTGGTGAGACAAGGTGATGTCTTGTGAGACAAGGTGATGTGAGGTGATGTCTGGTGAGAGAAGGTGATGTCAGGTGAGAAAAGGTGATGTCAGGTGTGACAAGGTGATGTAGGTGAGACAAGGTGATGCCAGGTGAGGTGAGACAAGGTGATGTCAGGTAAGACAAGGTGATGCCAGGTGAGGTGAGACACGGTGATGTCAGGTAAGACAAGGTGATGCCAGGTGAGGTGTGACAAGGTGATGTAGGTGAGACAAGGTGATGCCAGGTGAGGTGAGACAAGGTGATGTCTGGTGAGACAAGGTGATGTCAGGTGAGACAAGGTGATATCAGGTGAGACAAAGTGATGTCAGGTGAGGTGAGACAAGGTGATGTCAGGTGAGACAAGGCATTGTTAGAATGTGTTGTCAGGTGAGACAAGGTGATGTAAGATGAGACATGGTGATGTCAGGTGAGGTGAGACGAGGTGATTTCAGGTGATACAACATGATATCATGCGAGACAATATGATATCAGGTGAGACAAAGCGATATCAGGTGAAGTGAGACAAGGTGATGTAAGGTCAGACAATATATGTCAGGTGAGGTGAGACAAGGTGATGTCAGGTGAGACAAGGTGGTGTCAGACGAGGTGAGACAAGGTGTTGTCAGGTGAGACAAGGTGATACATATCAGGTGAGATAATGTGATGAGACAAGGTGAGACAATGGATGATATCCGGTGAGACAAAGCGATGTCAGGTGAAGTGAGACAAGGTGATGTAAGGTGAGACATGAGGTGATGTCAGGTGAGGTGAAACAAGGTGATGTCAGGTGAGACAAGGTGATATCATGTGAGACAATGTGATATCAGGTGAGACAAAGTGATGTCAGGTGAAGTGAGACAAGGTGATGTAAGGTGAGACAAGGTGATGTCAGGTGAGGGGAGACAAGGTGATGTCAGGTGAGACAAGGTGGTGTCAGACAAGGTGATACAAGGTGATGTCAGGTGATTCAAGGTGGTTTCAGGTGAGACAAAGCGATGTCAGGTGAGGTGAGACAAGGTGATGGTCAGGTGGGGTGATATCATGTGATGTCAGTGTGATTCAAGGCAATGTCAGGTGAAGTGAGACAAAGGTGATGTCAGGTGAGACAAGGTGGTGTTAGGTGATTCAAGGTGGTGATCAGGTGATGCAGTGATATCAGGTGTGAGACAATGTGATATCAGGTGAGACAAGGCGATGTCAGGTGAAGAGACAAAGGTGATGTCAGGTGAGACAAGGTGATGTCAAGTGAGACAAGACAAGGTGATGTCCAGGTGAGACAAGGCATTGTAGGTGAGACAAGCCATGTGAGTGATGAGGACAAGGTGATGACAAGAGACAAGGTGATGTCAGGTGAGACAAGGTGATGTCAGGTGAGACAAGGTGATGTCCAGGTGAGACAAGGTGATGTTGAGGTGAGACAAGAAGGTGATGTGAGGTGAGACAAGGTGATGTCAGGAGCAGAGCTGAGACAAGGTGATGTCAGGTAAGACAAGGTGATATGAGGTGAGACAAGGTGATGTCTGGTGAGACAAGGTGATGTGAGGGTGAGACAAAGGTGATGTCTGGTGAGACAAGGTGATGTCTTGTGAGACAAGGTGATGTCAGGTGATGTCTGGTGAGAGAGGTGATGTCAGGTGAGAAAAGGTGATGGTGTGACAAGGTGATGTAGGTGAGACAAGGTGATGCCAGGTGAGGTGATGACAAGGTGATGTCAGGGTAAGACAAGGTGATGCCAGGTGAGGTGAGACAACGGTGATGTCAGGTAAGACAAGGTGATGCCAGGTGAGGTGTGACAAGGTGATGTAGGTGAGACAAGGTGATGCCAGGTGAGGTGAGACAAGGTGATGTCTGGTGAGACAAGGTGATGTCAGGTGAGACAAGGTGATATCAGGTGAGACAAAGTGATGTCAGGTGAGGTGAGACAAGGTGATGTCAGGTGAGACAAGGCATTGTTAGAATGTGTTGTCAGGTGAGACAAGGTGATGTAAGATGAGACATGGTGATGTCAGGTGAGGTGAGACGAGGTGATTTCAGGTGATATAACATGATATCATGCGAGACAATGTGATATCAGGTGAGACAAAGCGATATCAGGTGAAGTGAGACAAAGTGATGTAAGGTCAGACAATATATGTCAGGTGAGGTGAGACAAGGTGATGTCAGGTGAGACAAGGTGGTGTCAGACGAGGTGAGACAAGGTGTTGTCAGGTGAGACAAGGTCATATCAGGTGATACGTGATATCAGGTGAGACAATGTGATATCAGGTGAGACAAAGCGATGTCAGGTGAAGTGAGACATGGTGATGTAAGGTGAGACATGGTGATGTCAGGTGAGGTGAAACAAGGTGATGTCAGGTGAGACAAGGTGATATCATGTGAGACAATGTGATATCAGGTGAGACAAAGTGATGTCAGGTGAAGTGAGACAAGGTGATGTAAGGTGAGACAAGGTGATGTCAGGTGAGGGGAGACAAGGTGATGTCAGGTGAGACAAGGTGGTGTCAGACAAGGTGATACAAGGTGATGTCAGGTGATTCAAGGTGGTTTCAGGTGAGACAAAGCGATGTCAGGTGAGGTGAGACAAGGTGATGTCAGGTGAGACAAGGTGATGTCAGGTGATACAACGTGATATCATGTGAGACAATGTGATATCAGGTGAGACAAAGCAATGTCAGGTGAAGTGAGACAAGGTGATGTAAGGTGAGACAAGCTGATGTCAGGTGAGGTGAGACAAGGTGATGTCAGGTGAGACAAGGTGGTGTCAGACGAGGTGAAACAAGGTGATGTCAGGTGATACAAGGTGATGTCAGGTGATACAAGGTGATGTCAGGTGATACAAGGTGATTCAAGGTGGTGTCAGGTGAGAAAAAGCGATGTCAGGTGAGGTGAGACAAGGTGATGTCAGGTGATACAAGGTGATGTCAGGTGAGACAAGGTGCTGTAAGGTGAGACAAGGTGATGTGAGATGAGACAAGGTGATGTCAGGTGAGGTGAGACAAGGTGATGTCAGGTGAGGTGAGGTGAGGTGAGATGAGTCATGTCAGAAGCTAGTGTAATAGTGCTTGTCCAAAGACTGACTGCAGCTCCAAGCTCAAACCATTATTTAAATATTTTTGTCAGGCTTACTTTGTTGTAGCCATGGAGCGTGATTTGAGAACAAATATGATGATTAGTGAACTAAATAAACAGGCTGATAATCTCACGGTGAACACGGAACCAACCCGGGTGTTTTCTCCCTACCTAGCTCACCTGTATGTCAGTTGTGTTGGCGGTCGTTGGGTAGCCCAGAGACTTCCATTTCTGTAAACCGCCATTTAAGACGGAAACCTTTGGGTGCCCCCAGATCTGAAACAAAGTATAACCAATTTTATGTTTTTGCCGGAACAATCATTAGATATTTATGATCCATGAAATAATTATCACAACACAAATTATCAACACGTGTACAGAATGACACTTTTTAAGTGTACAGAATGACACTATGAGTGTACAGAATGACACCGTCAGTGTACAGAATGACACCGTGAGTGTACAGAATGACACCGTGAGTGTACAGAATGACACTGAGTGTACAGAATGACACTGTGAGTGTACGTGAGTGTACAGAATGACACTGTGAGTGTACAGAATAACACCGTGAGTGTACAGAATGACACTGAGTGTACAGAATGACACTGTGAGTGTATAGAATGACACAGTGTACAGTATGACACTGTGAGTGTACGTGAGTGTACAGAATGACCCTGTGAGTGTACAGAATAACACCGTGAGTGTACAGAATGACACTGAGTGTACAGAATGACACTGTTGTAAGTGTACAGAATGACACTGTTGTTATGTTTTGGCCGGAACAATCATTAGATACTTATGATCCAGGAAATAATTATCACAACACAAATTATCAACACGTGTACAGAATGACACTTTTTAAGTGTACAGAATGACACTATGAGTGTACAGAATGACACCGTCAGTGTACAGAATGACACCGTGAGTGTACAGAATGACACTGAGTGTACAGAATGACACTGTGAGTGTACGTGAGTGTACAGAATGACACTGTGAGTGTACAGAATAACACCGTGAGTGTACAGAATGACACTGAGTGTACAGAATGACACTGTGAGTGTATAGAATGACACAGTGTACAGAATGACACTGTGAGTGTACGTGAGTGTACAGAATGACCCTGTGAGTGTACAGAATAACACCGTGAGTGTACAGAATGACACTGAGTGTACAGAATGACACTGTTGTAAGTGTACAGAATGACACTGTTGTTATGTTTTTGCCGGAACAATCATTAGATATTTATGATCCATGAAATAATTATCACAACACAAATTATCAACACGTGTACAGAATGACACTTTCTAAGTGAACAGAATGACACTATGAGTGTACAGAATGACACCGTGAGTGTACAGAATGACACTGTGAGTGTATAGAATGACACTGTTGTAAGTGTACAGAATGACACTGTTGTAAGTGTACAGAATGACACTGAATGTACAGAATGGTGTACAGAATGACACCGTGAGTGTACAGAATGACACTGAGTGTACAGAATGACACTGTTGTAAGTGTACAGAACGACACTGAGTGTACAGAATGACACTGTTGTAGGAGTGTACAGAATGACACTGAGTGTACGTGAGTTTACAGAATGACACCGTAAGTGTACAGAATGACACTGAGTGTACAAAATGACACTGTGAGTGTACATGAGTGTACAGAATGACACTGAGTGTACAGAATGACACTGTGAGTGTACATGAGTGTACAGAATGACACCGTGAGTGTACAGAATGACACCGTGAGTGTACAGAATGACACCGTGAGTGTACAGAATGACACTGTGAGTGTATAGAATGACACTGTGAGTGTACGTGAGTGTACAGAATGACCCTGTGAGTGTACAGAATAACACCGTGAGTGTACAGAATGACACTGAGTGTACAGAATGACACTGTTGTAAGTGTACAGAATGACACTGTTGTTATGTTTTTGCCGGAACAATCATTAGATATTTATGATCCATGAAATAATTATCACAACACAAATTATCAACACGTGTACAGAATGACACTTTTTAAGTGTACAGAATGACATTATGAGTGTACAGAATGACGCCGTGAGTGTACAGAATGACACCGTGAGTGTACAGAATGACACCGTGAGTGTATAGAATGACACTGTTGTAAGTGTACAGAATGACACTGTTGTAAGTGTACAGAATGACACTGATGTAAATGTACAGAATGACACTGTTGTAAGTGTACAGAATGACACTGAGTGTACAGAATGGTGTACAGAATGACACCGTGAGTGTACAGAATGACAGTGAGTGTACAGAATGACACTGTTGTAAGTGTACAGAATGACACTGAGTGTACATAAGTGTACAGAATGACACCGTGAGTGTACAGAATAACACCGTGAGTGTACAGAATGACACTGAGTGTACAGAATGACACTGTGAGCGTACATGAGTGTACAGAATGACACTGAGTGTAAAGAATGACACCGTGAGTGTACAGAATGACACTGAGTGTACAGAATGACACTGTGAGTGTACAGAATGACACCGTGAGTGTACAGAATGACACTGTGAGTGTACAGAATGACACTGAGTGTACAGAATGACACTGTGAGTGTACATGAGTGTACAGAATGACAGTGAGTGTACAGAATGACACCGTGAGTGTACAGAATGACACTGAGTGTACAGAATGACACTGTGAGTGTACAAAATGGTGAGTGTACAGAATGACACTGAGTGTAAGTGAGTGTACAGAATGACATTGTGAGTTTACAGAATGACACTGTGAGTGTACAGAATGACACTGTGAGTGTACATGAGTGTACAGAATGACACTGTGAGTGTACAGAATGACACTGAGTGTACAGAATGACACTGTGAGTGTACAGAATGACACTGTGAGTGTACATGAGTGTACAGAATGACACTGTGAGTGTACAGAATGACACTGAGTGTACAGAATGACACTGTGAGTGTACATGAGTGTACAGAATGACACCTTTAGTGTACAGAATGACACCGTGAGTGTACAGAATGACACTGTGAGTGTACATGAGTGTACAGAATGACACTGTGAGTGTACAGAATAACACCGTGAGTGTACAGAATGACACTGAGTGTACAGAATGACACTGTGAGTGTATAGAATGACACAGTGTACAGAATGACACTGTGAGTGTACCTGAGTGTACAGAATGACCCTGTGAGTGTACAGAATAACACCGTGAGTGTACAGAATGACACTGTTGTTATGTTTTGGCCGGAACAATCATTAGAATTACACTGTGAGTGTACAGAATGACACCGTGAGTGTACAGAATGACACTGTGAGTGTACAGATGGGTTATTCTATGTGCAGCCTAGCCTCCCATTCTGGTGATACTCGGACAAAGGTAGGTGTACAGTAGACTCCTACAAACAGTGATGAGTGGCTGAGTGAAGTGCTCTCATCTCCAGACTGTTGATGTGAACGGAGAATCTAACACCCATGGACCTGTCCAGTAAGGTGGAAGGATGGGGGTTCCCAGGATCAGACAGGAATGGAGATGCCCAGCTCCTCCGTGTCCGACTGATTGTCTTTGATCATCTCAAGAGTCTGCAGGCTCCTTGACTGGAGTACTGGAGTGCAGTTTTCTTGTCATCATTTTCTCTTCACATCTTAACCACCAGGCATGCTTCTTGAAAGCTGATCTAGATAGTGAGTGGGTGACAAACCTCACAACTGGTGACGGAAGAGCAAAGAGCGTGACCACACTCCCTGCAGTCTCCATGTTGATTCTGAGGGGACATTGATTTGAAGCAGGCTGAACTATCTGTTGAAACTGAGGGGGAGGATGAGACGTATCTAGAGCCATTAGACTTACCCAAGATAACCAAATAAGAAGCCAAACCTTAGAAAAATTTGACAAAATTTTTATGCAAACATGTAAACACATCCATGCAAGTGTGCCACTGGAAAACTTATAACTCCTGAGGATAGCTCTTTGAGGACCAGTAGGAGGCAAGACAACACACATCCATGGACTTTAACAACTTTTATTCAAACTAAACCTGCAGTGGATTCAGAAACCAATGTCAGGAAAAAGGCAATCAAGAGTTACAAGGGTGTATTCATAAGAATTGTATTTAATGTGTGTGTTTTCGGGCCAAAGAAAGTGTGTCTTACTGCGGAACAAGATGTTACATCACAATCCAAGGCTACAGAGATTACCAGAAAAGTCCATCAATTCATTTCCCATGACCTTGACCTCCTCACCTTAAATGTCCACCACACACGGCCTGAGATGAAGAAGCTACAGAAGTCGGTGTTGCTGTAGATGACCACATGGGATGTGTTGTTGATGCCGGCATCCCTAGCTGCCTTCTGGAAGACATCTAAGTTGGGAATATTTCTTGGATGCAGTTCAGTGTGGACGGCAATGTCAAACACGTTGAAGTACACCGATCCTGGTATGTGATCCCTGAGGGAGTGAGTTAAAGGTCACAAGCAACACAAAACACAACTTGCAGATTCTGATACCTTTCAGTATGGACTTATAGTAACAAATTATCACAAATGCAAATTAAACTTATAAAGTTGAAAAATAATGCGATGAAACAAAACCCTCGAAATCAGAGTTCAAACGATTCACTAATTTCACCCCAGTGCTGGGGAGAAAAGTGGTATCAACAGCTGTGCTGCGCTGCTCCCATAGAGCATGCGCAGTGATTAGGTTCACGTGGCTTAAACCGGGAAGGCAACTCATAGCAAGTGATGCATGCAAGGATTATCGCTGTGGTCAAAGTTGGAGAACAAAAGATGTTCTTGTGATTACAAGCATCTTTGGTCTGCAGTAATAAAATTACACTGGTCCCATACTTTTTCTTATATGTTTTCACATCTTGCTTCTTGGGGGTTGGCAGATTTGCAAACCAAGTTTTCAAGAAAGTGTAGCATTAGAAATTACTAATTTCTTTGTTAAAATTGCTCAGCTTGAAAAGTGAAATGTTTCAATACATGTCTATGGAAACATAGAAAAATATGTTGATTGCGATAAGCAGTCTCTGTCACAGACAAAACTCAGTGTCTGTTTTATTGACACCTATTATGTGTCTGCCTGCCTGTCTGCTAATGACAATATGCAATACACAACGTCAATCATTGACAACATGCAATTTGAACTTGAAACATATCAGGCTACACGCCATACACAAAAAACATTGATTTATGGCTCGTGCACCTGAGTTCTGTCTCTGTCACATAATGTAATTACACAGACAGGCAGGTGTGATACTTGTACACATGACATGTTATTTTAACTTTGGGTTGCAAACAAACAGCATCCATTTTTCTCGGATGACTGGATCGGATAGAAACCGGTGTAAACTCAGATTGTCACTTTCAAGTCCTGCTTTGTACTTAAATGGACAACAGTTTCCAGCCACGCAGTAGTTCACCATCTCAGTATTTGTTGATTGGATCAAACGCAAATGCAGAAAAAATGAGCATGTAGTTACAAAACCCAACATCTCTATATACACACACATAATGAGCCTCAGCGTATCGGAAAATGAACCAGGCAATGAAAGCCTTCGCTACACTTGAGTGCACACCGACCCGCTCTGACTGGGTTCGGTCTCCCGGGTGCTTTGTTTCGAGGGAAGTAAACCCAAGTACCAAATATTGCACTTTGATTTGCGATTGTACGCTTATAATTTTGTTTATTTGGGGTTTTTTTCATAATCAGCAATGTATATTATATGTCATGAATAAGTGATAATTGTGTTTTAATTATGTTTGTTTTTTTGGTTGCATGTGACCTTTAAGGTATAATGCCACTTGGCCTTATGTATTTCAGCCAAATAGTTCTGGGAAGAAATGCAAAAATAGCATGGTCCTATTTTTTCCAAGTAGAACATGGTGGATTGCCAGACAAAAGTTGCATTAACCCGGGAAGCGAGGAGGTCAGCAAAACATGGTACTGTTGGAAGGGCAATCTCTCTCCTCAACTTAACAACCAGCTAACCGTCAACATGGAGGGCAACCATCAACATGGAGGGCAACCATCAACATGGAGGGCAACCATCAACATGGAGGGCAACCATCAACATGGAGGGAACCTGTCAACATGGAGGGCAACTGTCAACATGGAGGGCAACCGTCAACATGGAGGGCAACCGCCAACATGCAACCATCAATATGGAGGGCAACCATCAACATGGAGGGCAACCATCAACATGGAGGGCAACCATCAACATGGAGGGAACCTGTCAACATGGAGGGCAACTATCAACATGAAGGGCAACCGTCAACATGGAGGGCAACCATCAACATGGAGGGCAACCGTCAACATGGAGGGCAACCATCAACATGGAGGGCAACCGTCAACATGGAGGGCAACCATCAACATGGAGGGCAACCATCAACATGGAGGCAACCATCAACATGGAGGGCAACCATCAACATGGAGGGCAACCATCAACATGGAGGGCAACCATCAACATGGAGGGCAACCATCAACATGGAGGGCAACCATCAACATGGAGGGCAACCATCAACATGGAGGGCAACCATCAACATGGAGGGCAACCATCAACATGGAGGGCAACCATCAACATGGAGGGCAACCATCAACATGGAGGGCAACCATCAACATGGAGGGCAACCATCAACATGGAGGGCAAACATGGAGGGCAACCATCAATGGAGGGGAACCGTCAACATGGAGGGCAACCATCAACATGGAGGGCAACCATCAACATGGAGGGCAACAATCAACATGGAGGGCAACCGTCAACATGGAGGGCAACTGACAACATGGAGGGCAACTGTCAACATGGAGGGCAACCATCAACATGGAGGGCAACCAGCTAACATGGAGGGCAACTGTCAACATGGAGGGCAACCATCAACATGGAGGGCAACCATCAACATGGAGGGCAACTGTCAACAGCCTCTGGCAGGGTCTACCAGTCATAAAGTGACGATCATAAACACAGTTCTTGAAAACAATCTTCAGTGTGTCAGCTTGTTGAGTTACCACCCATAATTTACAGACGGGTTAAGAACATCCGATGATGTCTGTTATCAGCCATCTTAAACATGAGCCAGCTAAATATACACAAGCCATCACCCGAGTATATATATCGTCTGTGTCACATACTTATCCACCTCAGCAATTTATAATTTGTTAGAACCTTTCGAAATAAAATATTCCTTAATTGTCATATATGATTATGACACAAGTGAAACACACAAGCGAAGTGCTTTCTCAATAATATATCATAACTGAGATGATTACATTGTTTTCATTCATTAAGGAAACTTTAAAACCTGCACATGAATCCATTCTGGACAGAGTGGTCATCCATGGTAAACTAACAACTTCGTCTTACTTGGAGTAGTCACTGTGGCAGTCCTGGCTGCTGGACCAGGACACGTCCAGGATGACCAGGTCACGGGGTTGTCTCCCTTCAATCTGACTCTTCAGCCAATCACACGACACAAGGCTCTCACTCATGCTGCACAAAACATTAGTTTAACATTGTTAGCACATGGACTCTCAGACACATTGCCCAGTATAACATCGTTAGCACATGGACTCTCAGACACGTTGCCCAGTATAACATTGTTAGCACATGGACTCTCAGACACGTTGCCCAGTATAACATCGTTAGCACATGGACTCTCAGACACATTGCCCAGTATAACATCGTTAGCACATGGTTAGCACATGGACTCTCAGACGCATTGCCCAGTATAACATCGTTAGCACATGGACTCTCAATCATACATATTGACCGGTATGATAACATTGTTACTACATGGACTATGGTACAGGAGACATTACTGATGGTACAGGTCACATTACTGATGGTACAGGAGACATTACTGATGGTACAGGCGAAGGTACAGGAGACATTACTGATGGTACAGGCGAAGGTACAGGAGACATTACTGATGGTACAGGCGAAGGTACAGGAGACATTACTGATGGTACAGGCGAACGTACAGGAGACATTACTGATGGTACAGGTCACATTACTGATGGTACAGGAGACATTACTGATGGTACAGGTCACATTACTGATGGTACAGGAGACATTACTGATGGTACAGGAGACATTACTGATGGTACAGGAGACATTACTGATGGTACAGGAGACATTACTGATGGTACAGGAGTTATTACTGATGGTACAGGAGACATTATTGATGGTACAGGAGACATTACTGATGGTACAGGTCACATTACTGATGGTACAGGAGACATTACTGATGGTACAGGAGTCATTACTGATGGTACAGGAGACATTACTGATGGTACAGGAGACATTACTGATGGTACAGGTCACATTACTGATGGTACAGGAGACATTACTGATGGTACAGGAGACATTACTGATGGTACAGGTCACATTACTGATGGTACAGGAGACATTACTGATGGTACAGGAGACATTACTGATGGTACAGGTCACATTACTGATGGTACAGGAGACATTACTGATGGTACAGGAGACATTACTGATGGTACAGGAGACATTACTGATGGTACAGGAGACATTACTGATGGTACAGGAGACATTACTGATGGTACAGGAGACATTACTGATGGTACAGGAGACATTACTGATGGTACAGGAGACATTACTGATGGTACAGGTCACATTACTGATGGTACAGGAGACATTACTGATGGTACAGGAGACATTACTGATGGTACAGGAGACATTACTGATGGTACAGGAGACATTACTGATGGTACAGGAGACATTACTGATGGTACAGGAGACATTACTGATGGTACAGGTCACATTACTGATGGTACATGAGACATTACATTACTGATGGTACAGGAGACATTACTGATGGTACAGGTCACATTACTGATGGTACAGGAGACATTACTGATGGTACAGGAGACATTACTGATGGTACAGGAGACATTACTGATGGTACAGGTCACATTACTGATGGTACAGGAGACATTACTGATGGTACAGGAGACATTACTGATGGTACAGGTCACATTACTGATGGTACAGGTTACATTACTGATGGTACAGGAGACATTACTGATGGTACAGGAGACATTACTGATGGTACAGGTCACATTACTGATGGTACAGGAGACATTACTGATGGTACAGGAGACATTACTGATGGTACAAGTCACATTACTGATGGTACAGGAGACATTACTGATGGTACAGGAGACATTACTGATGGTACAGGTCATATTACTGATGGTACAGGAGACATTACTGATGGTAAAGGTGACATTACTGATGGTACAGGTCACATTAATGATGGTACAGGCGAAGGTACAGGCGAAGGTAATGCCCACTAATGGCGACATTACTGATGGCACAGGTGACACAGGGACCTGGGAAGTTGGCGTTCTATAAACACTTATCCCGACCTGATAGCCATCTCACGCAGTCAGACTCAGAGATAGAAAATATGATATACACCGGGATATCGTATTGCAACTACAGTCAAATCCCGATGAGTCGAATCGCTGGGGACAAAGTAATAAATTCGTCTATGAGGGTAGAAAAAAGATGATCCAGTCCTAATTCCTCCACCTAAGCATTTGTTTACCTAATGATTTCCATATCACTAATAGGGGCACCTTATCAGTTCCAGTCTGATTAGTACAGACAGTGATCTCCGTAAAATCACTAATCTGCCTTTTGAACTCACCCGTCAATGGCGGAAAGGTGTTAGCCGCGCTGGTTTGTTAATTGGATCAGTTTGCTACACCAATCAACTTCTCATTGACTGACTTATGTATACAAGATTGCTGTTGTTTGAATCTCATGGGACCAAATTTCCTTCTCGAGTCATCGTGTGTATTTATGAGACGAATTCGTGTAACCGGAAATCAAATGATGACAACTATAACAGGGAATGGTCGGGACCGACAGGTACTTCGAGTTATGCATAATATTCGAGACACCGGCATTCTACTCATCGGGATTTGACTGTATACTCTAAGCTGGCCTTGTTTCAAATCTGCTTCTCCCACATTCAACACACTTACCTGTCTCAGGGTGTGCCTTACAACGTGAAAATACGACTGGAACTGCCAAAGTGTTTGCTCCAACTTGTTGCAGGTTTGTCAGAGTCCAGACTTGCATACGAAGTGAAGTAACTGTCATAAACCAGCTGTAAATCTCCTGTGGGCTTGTTCAACGTACATGTGACACTATTGACATATATGACGCACAAGATCCCACAGTAACCTCCCCTGACAAACAAGGGGAGACAATTTGTTTCCATAGCTGTTTTTTGTTTTCATGCGAGGTATGCAATGAAGCAAATTGCAGGAGTTCAAATACGCTACAGCATTTTAAAATTTTATGAAAAATATTTTGGTAAATCTAAACTAAACAATAATTGTGTGGTTAGTGTACGATATAGAGTGAAACAGAAAAATAGTTGTCAACCATAGCAATTAAAATAAAGCCAGAAATATATTTTATACTGTCACAACAGAAATATTGGAAAGAAATACAGTAGTCAGGAATCACAATGTAAAATGTTTCTGCTTTTTCCATGCTTCACATGTATCAGTTCGCAGGCTTCATTGTCTGATGATAAATGGCAGACTAGCAACATGAAGATGTTCACTGGGGATTGTTCACACCACACTGTACTGCAAACTGATACTTGAAACAAAGGTCTATCATATGGTCTCTGTTGAAACCATGGTAACCAGACCCCCAATTTCACAACTGTCTCTCAGCGATGTAGTGAGTGTGTGAGTGAGTCAGGTTTAATGTCAATTGAAAGAATATTCTAAAGTACTGTCGGAAATACTAGAAAAATGCTTTTTAACCTTAATACTTTGATAAAGGTGATAAATGTACTATGTTGTCAATATATCAACTCGCCTATAGTGTACCTAATTTTTATTTCAATCGATTTAACATTTCCATGCATTTAAAGGGCAGTTTACAGGAGAGAATTTGGTACCAAAACAACAACTCAAGATGTTTTCAGAGTTTAACATGAGAAATCTGAAATAGTCTTTAAATTTATGCTAATAATACAGGTGGTGCAAAAATATAAATTAACGTTTTTCTTAAACAAATAAAATGTTGAATGTTTGTGTTATTTGCCTTAATTATCGTTTCTTTATTGAAGAAAAATGAATATAAATGTTAAGGCTTGATAAATACGTTTCCCGTCATGCATGCATATCTTTATCACAGCCTCCACTATGGCCAACGATTTGAAGTCGATTGTAGCAAAGGTTTATTAGTTTTTTTTTGTGCTTGAGAAAGACAGAGGTAAACTTTTCATTAGTTTAGAAAGGGTTTATTACAGAACTTGTAGAGCTGTTGGTATGTCTTGCCAAGTTTACTATATTGTAAACAAATCAGACAAGACAGGGACAGTCTAAAAAAAAACTGGGAAGCTATACCAGTGACTTCATTAAATCTTTGACCAATTTTCACAACTAGATTAAACTGACCGAATTACATCCATATTTTTGCAAAGAAATATACAAATGACATGCAAAACATTTATTAAAACGTACATTTCTACAATCAATCAATAACATAACACAAGTATTGGGATTCTTTCTCATGCACAATAATTTGTATGTTTAATTCAAAACACACACACACACACATTATTATTGGTGTGCGAAATGTGGATATCACATGATCCCTTACATAACCAATAAATATACTATACCTACACATATTCAACATTATGAAGAAAAGGATGTATTGAGATGACCCCTCACCCGAGCTTGTGCTCAGGTGTCAATTTCACCTGTCGATACCGTGCATGCTGATGACATAACACAGGCAGTTAATGTTTGTATCAAATAACGTTCCACTACCCCTTATTTTTCTAAGTTTTTGATATTTTCAATGTAAAAACACATTTTAGGGCATGTCTCAAAATTTATTCCCTCGGTCTACATTAGGTAGATGTTTCTCAAAGTGATATTTGTTATTTAAGTAACTGTAATACCTCTGACTTTTACATAAAAGTCAAAAAGCATTTTTCCAGCATTTCCGACAGTACTTTAGTTATATAATGGTGTGTTAGCTTGACGAGGAGGCAAGCCCGAAGTTTAACAAGTCTCAGATGTTTACCATTTTGTTGAAACCAACAAAGTCTGGTATGGTGCTAAGGGACTTTTCATAATTTATGGCTATGGGGGTGATGATGATTTTAAGTGGGGGTCACCCCTTTGTTCTGGGGGTGGGGTGGGGATGGGATCAATTTTTGTTCACAAAGATGCTTAAAATATGGGAGAAAGTGGGGTAATTTATTTTGCATGCGACATGCTGGGGGGGTGTCACTGACTTTGTACATACATTTTAGGGGGGGGGGGGGTTACTCACATTGTTCATGCTTCTCCACAAAAATCATCATCACCCCCTCCACCCCTTGCCATAAATGATGAACGGCCCTTAACTAGTGTGGTACACCAGGATTGGAACACAAGATCATAGGTTTCTGTTGTCAAGGGAGACAACTCTGCTCAGCTCTGTGGCACCTCAGATAAGAATTATGTTGACACACACGGATTACATATGGTATAAAGGTTACCCTCTCTTCCTTCTAGTTTTGTTTGGTAAGATTTCCCATAAATAAATGGTGGATTACCTTTGGAAATCTCAGCTTGGTATTTTCAATTTTTCTGAAGAGTCAAAAGTTACCCAAACCTTGGTTTTGAGGATATGATACACAAAATGCATTTAATAATTTAATTTTTTTTAATTCAAACAATAAGAACAAAATATGATGTCATCTTATGGAGAAATTTCTTAGTCTCACAGAGATGTTTGCATGGCCAAAAATACATTTTGCGAAATTCTACAATCATTACATTTTGCTGAGCTGTGACTATAGTGCTTTCAAACTATTTCTTGTTGCCTTTAGGTGGTAGACTCTATACCAAAGGAGAACAAGTGTTACGGATAATGACTTCTTTATTGCAATAGATGCGAAGAAGTTTGGGGTAGATGCTAACACTGTCATCGCTTGTTTGGTAACTGTGGCTGCATCTGCACCGATACACAGTATCAACTGCAAGTATGAAGTTTTCTTCTGTAATACTGCCAAAATACCAAACATAATAACACAACAACTTCAGACACCCCACACTTCAATGGACTCAATGACAACTCAACAAGGAACAACTGTCAACTGTTTTACTGAGTACAGCGAACCTGCACAGGCAGATCATTATAACAAAGATCAGTTTCTCCGACATGTACGTCTCGTGTTCTCCATGTTGGAGGAATATATATATCATAACAATCACTTTATTTCAAAACATTAACAAAATTGGGGCATTCAGTGCCCAGAAAGAACAAAAAGCTTCCCCAGACATCAACAATTTCTATATTCTGTGGGTGTGGGTTGAGTGTTGATGGACGATTGGGGAGGTATGTGTTGCACAGAACATTATTACCCCAGATAACCCAAGCTGCCTGTTAGGTGCTTGAAGGTTATAGTCACATAACCTTATCCCCCCCGGGCACCCATTTCTGCTGGGTGAACAGAGGAAATTTTGAATAAACTCACTTGCCCAAGGCGAGACCACATCGAATGTGTTGGTAGGGAATGGGGGGGTTGTAATGTGGTCAGTCATGTTGAAAATATTGTATGGTTTTAATAAAATATAATATATTACATGTCTTGAGGCCCTCAAGCCCCTATCTGATAGAGGTTCATTAGATATTTCACATGTGTATTGTGTTCGATGTGATGATTCTGATACATACACACAGACCTTCTGTCAAGGCATAAACGGAATACATCTGTACAACAAGTCACCCAACTCTTCATCCTCTGAATGATCATGGATGTCAAATGCAACTTCAAGGTTTTGATTACAACAATTGTGACAATCAGGATATGTATCATACTGCGACCACACGTCCGTATCATACTGCAACCACACGTCCGTATCATACTGCCACCACACGTCCGTATCATACTGCAACCACACGTCCGTATCATACTGCCACCACACGTCCGTATCATACTGCAACCACACGTCCGTATCATACTGTGACCACACGTCCGTATCATACTGTGACCCGTGTCCGTATCATACTGCCACCACACGTCCGTGTCATACTGCCACCACACGTCCGTATCATACTGCGACCACATGTCCGTATCATACTGCCACCACACGTCCGTATCATACTGCCACCACACGTCCGCATCATACTGCCACCACACGTCCGTATCATACTTCATACCACACGCCACCACATACTGCCACCACCGTCATCATACTGCCACCACACGTCCATATCATACTGCCACCACACGTCCATATCATACTGCCACCACACGTCCGTATCATACTGCCACCACACGTCCGTATCATACTGCGACCACACCTCCGTATCATACTGCCACCACACGTCCGTATCATACTGCAACCGCACGTCTGTATCATACTGTGACCACACGTTGAATGACTGAAATTCTTAAACTGACAAAGTCACATTATGTGAATCCTGATTCACATGCCACTGTCCAACCGATTAACTATCAAGCTTCCAGGAGTCATGTGACTGATGATATGTAAGTCCAAGTTTTGAATTGGTTTCTAATGTAGTCAAGGCATGCCATTCTGCACAACAAACTTAGATGACATTGAGCACCCCTGACATCATATGTCTTCAAATGACCAATCACCATGAAGAACAAATAAAATGCACACAAGCAAACATACTTCCCACAATCATTCTACCCTTCTGGGGAACATTAATCTGTCTGGGAGCAAAGATGACCTCAAGTCCCTGGGGTCTGCTGTAGTATTTGAACGCTGGAACATCAAAATGTTTCTCATATCATCTTTGTCAGTTGGAATTCGTGAATATTGAACGCTGCAGGATGGAACTTGTTCAACTATTGACCGCCCTACCATTGCCGACTAACTATATAATATATGCATCTGATTGTCACCACACTGAAGTATGCTCTCCACGTATCAGGTTGTTAAATAGTTTCTGTTTATGCATTATACAGGGGGAGAAACTGTTGAACGTAGCACCTGCACACGGGACACTTCTTCGGTGACGGGAGTCGCTCTGCACAGTCTGAACACACACACACATGCCTACAGTCCATGATGATGACACTCCTCCTCTTGGCCAGACACACCACACACTGCTGATCAGAGTCCGAGTTATCAGAGTCACCGAGTTCATTAGTCGCTCGTATCAGGGCGAACTCAGCCTGCTGTTGACGTATGTCTCTCCACTTTCTGTAGAACTTCCACAAGATGTAAAGCAACAGCCCCGAACTGACCGCTCCCAACACAACGGTCAAACACTTGTACACATACGCCTGAGACTCAAACTTGCGGACTACTGTTGCTTTACTTAACTTGGTCAGTATGAACCTGGAGCCATCACTTGGTGGTCCAATCATGGCCTTCCCATCCTCCAGACAGACTTCCCCGATGCCCCGCAGGTTCGTGCCAACCAGCAACATCTTCTCCGTGTCCTGGATACCCTTTGAAACCTCGCCAAAGATTCGGTCAATGCCACTTTGGAGTAGGGAGGATTTGCCTGGCTCGAAATGGTCAAAAGTGACAGTGAGTTCATCTTGAAGGAGGTCAGCGCTGAGGGCCTCGTTCACGTACACTTCCTGTTTGCCCTCTGGCGGCTCCACCAACTTGAAGGGAACAGCTTCCAGTGTGTCCTGCATGATCTTCTTGGCGTCGGACCTGCAAGATAGGAACATGACTGTTGCTGTAACAGATAGAGTTGAGAATGTTTACTAGGAAAACTCAACAACATACAGTTGCTCATCACAGGCCATTAACACCAATGTTTCTACACAACCTTAAACTTCTTGCCAACATCTCAATACAAACTTGACCTTCTCACCAATATCTCTACAAAACCTATAACTTCTCACCAACATCCCTGCACAACACTGAACTTCTCACCAATATCCCTGCACAACACTGAACTTCTCACCAATATCCCTGCACAACACTGAAGATCTCACCAACATCCCTGCACAACACTGAACTTCTCACCAATATCCCTGCACCCTCTTGGACTTGTGCTCTACTTTCTGTATGTGCTGGATGACTCCCTTCATGTCGCAGTGGGTACTCTGCAGCTCCTGGTAGTACGGCACCACGATGCCTTCCACAGTCACATAAGCCAGTCGGTTGTCATTCTCACGCAAAACTTCATGCAGCTCCTTCAGCTGAACATTCCGAGCATTCTAAACAGAAGAATGTCATCTTGAATCATGATTAGATGTTCAAGCGGGGGAAGCTGGCATGCCTTTATACCAGAACAGACAGGATGGCAAGTGTTGCCTTAACTATAGGGATCATGAAGGGGTGTTTGATAGTCAAGTGGTGCTTAATTAAACTGCATTAGCATCAAGGGTGTTTGATCGGCAAGTGGTACCCCAACACAATTAAGACTGATGGGATATCTGAGGGGCAAGCCATCAGAATACAGCAGGTAAACTGCATTCTTGCCATAAGAGTCACAAAAGTAAAGTAGTGCAGTAGGGTTTGCCTCTGATTATTTCTGTCCAGTCTTTTGACATTGGTACATATTTAGTGCTAGTAGGGATTAGTGGTGGTCCGATTAATTGAAATAATCAAAGATTGGTCGTAGTGACTTAATGACCAAGCAATCGATCATAATTTCTCATAATCGAACACAAACAATTCTGGAACACTTGTTTTCATTAACAATATTTTTCACATGGTTGGTTTTGTCTGTTACATTTCATAAGCACTGCAAGCTCGTTTCAAGTCTTGATTGAATTTATCTTAAAGATTCCAAGAAATTTATGTTCCCAACATACTAGTCATCCTTTAAAGATGTGAAATTTTGCCAAACAAACCCTAAAAAAACCTAGATCTACATGTTTTCTTCCTTATTTTTATGTGCATTAACAAATTTCATAAATGTCGCTAACCAATTATGTTCGATGATTGATCGGTAGTAATGAACCAGTCATCAATTATGAGATTTGAACCAATTCCCAACACTAGTAGGAATGTGTATCTGATCACTACTTTCGTTTCTGCTCCTACAGGGGACGTTGTCAATGTCGTCCGATGACAGAGTCACTGCTTCTTACCCGAACTCTGTCAGCAGTTCGTTCGCGGCTAGAGTACAGTCTATAGAAGAGAGTGGTCAGTAGTCCAGTGACGCCTAGGGTGAAGGCCGCTATTTTCTCAGGAATGTCCAAAGGCATGATATCTGTTGACACCACTCGTCGTCGACCAGCCGGTCCGGAAGTAATGGTGGGATTGACTCAAACCGGCAGTATGTCAAAACGGAAATAACAATCAAAGTCAAAACGGCCACAACGAAACACAACATGGATTACAAAGGAACAGCGCGAAATGCGATTTGAAATGACCCACTCTTCCCCTGGATTACAAAGGAACAGCGCGAAAAGCGAGATGCACGTGCATTAGTGACGTCAGAGACGCGTGATTACTGCTGATTGACAATGTGAGAGAAAATGAAAGTCTATAATTTACAAGGTCTATGATTCCTTCAAGGATGAAAATGACAGGGGGTGACCCAAGTATGCAATTACTAAGTAGAGTCAGACACGGACCGATGAATTGCAAATTTGATCATTGTACAAAATTGCCACAGAAATAAAAACAGTACATATGTTTATCATTTACAAATACCCAACAGCTTTCTTATATTTGAAAATTTTCCGGACTCCACCAAAAAAGTTTTTTTTAGAAACTATCATCATTGAAAACGCAAACGTTGTTATCTGTCGCGGCGGGGTGAAACCGCAGAAACGGAACAGCCAGTCATGGCAGGGGACATCTCAAAATCTATTCCGGGAGACCTGTCGGTTCCTCGTCCGTCGTAGTGTCATAATCACGACTAAGGGATGACAAGTGGTGCCACAGTTGCCAGTTGTAAGCCATCCCGAGACCAGTAACCTTGTTCAATGACGTTAGCTACCTTGTTGACACAGTTTTGCCAAGTTTCAGTCGTGATTTTGTTAAGGGATTCCTTAACCAAAACCTCTACGTCACGTAATCTAAAAGTTGTGTTTGATCTGGCAACATCTCCTTTGACAATTCCCCATATCATTTCAATGGGGTTAAGGTCACAGTGATAGGGTGGAAGTCGCAGAATATTATGACCCTTACTTTTTATGTAACTGTCAACTTTGTAGAAACATTCACCTTTGTGAGTTTTTATGATCTCATATAGCTGAGGCTTCGTTGCCTTTGAAGGCCGTGCCATCTGAAATTTGTCGAGCCATGATATCATATCACCTTTTCGACTGTTCGATGTCGGGGCTTTACTGTCGGGGTCCTGCACGCTGTGGTATGGGGCATTGTCCATTACGATAAAAGACTTCTCTGGTAGAGCTGGTACCAACTTGTTTTTAACCCAATCGAGGAAAACCGCACCATTCATCTCGGAATGGTAGTCTCTGTTATCTGTGGACTTTGCCCTGAATACCAAGTCGCAGCCTGGGAGAAAGCCTTTGCTGGAGCAACCAGCATGGAGAATGATTAGTCTCTCTCCTTTCCCTAGAGGCAGCTTTCTACGCGACCCCTTATCACCCCCATCGGGTACCCACTGACTGCTGGCAGTGTGCGAGGTATTGACCCAGGTCTCGTCCAAGTACACTGGCTCGAATCCTTCCTCGCGCTTCTTTTTTATAAACCTGAGACAATTATTTCTCAAGCGAACGATATCAGGGCGTTTACAGAGTACTGACCTATTCTCCCCCGAAATTTTCTTATAACGATAGGGCCTACCCGAAAGAGTGTAAGAGTCGCCAGAGTGTGTACTTTGATACTCTGAGGTTGTGTTCTTGCTTCAAATGCTTTTTTATAATTTTCAGCGACATGTATTTGTTTTCAGAATAGAGCTTGTTGATAGACTGCCTTACAAGGTTCTTTTGGAAGTAGTCCAAATGTTTTAATTCGTGTGATTTTGACACGACCCCCTACCTGCTTCGCATCACCCTCACAATGTTTGTGTTCCAGAACATTTGTCAGTACCCTTGCTGATACTCCTAAAGCTTTTGCTGCCCGCTTACGGAATTTATTAATGGCATAAAATGGTTTGCCCCTTTCGGCTTCAGCACGGAAAAAATCGTACACTTTAATCATCAACTGTTTCACGCCAGCATTCAAGTTCATTTTTCATCAGGCATGTGTATCCCGTGCACGACGAGATAGTGGCTGTTCCGTTTCTGCGGTTTCACCCCGCCGCGACAGATAACAACTTTTGCGTTTTCAATGATGATAGTTTCTTAAACAACTTTTTTGGTGGAGTCCGGAACATTTTCAAATATAAGAAAGCTGTTTGTATTAGTAATCATATCATGATCATATTTCTTTGAAATATCAAGAATTATGAACATTTGCACAACGTATAACACTTTTAACACTTCTATTTGTGTTAATTTGTTACGATGATACACATGACATACATATCATATTGGATAAACTTTGTCACCACAGTGCTTACTAGTCACAACAGAAAGTCACAGAACAAAGCAGTGTCTTAAGACATGTTTTTGTCATTGAGGGAAGCACGAGGAGATCTTGACTTCTTCCTTGGTGCCCTCTTAGCTTTCAAAGCTCTACTCGCCTCTCCAGTTTTCTCGCCATCGCATGTGATGGGGATAGCGTACCTCCCAGACAAAGTTACATGGGACTCGCAGATTCCTTCAACTCATTCTTCATTTCAAAGATTGATACCATTCGACAAGGACTTTCAGCCAACGAAGTTGATAGGTGTTTCAGTGAACCTCTCTTCACAGGCGATCCACTATCACAGTTTGCGCCCTTCACCCCCAAGGACATTGAATCAATTATCCGCTCTTCAAAGCCTACCACCTGCGACTCCGACCCCATACCAACTAAACTTCTGTTTCAATATCTTGACTTGTTGCTGCCAAGCATTACCAAAATTGTCAACTCAAGTTTGGAGAGTAGTGTATTTCCAAACAGATTCAAGCATGCTGTAGTCAAACCTCTGCTAAAGAAACCTGATCTTGACTATCAGAATCTTCAGAACTTTCGACCTGTCTCAAATTTATCCTTCATTTCCAAGATAATTGAGAAGGCTGTGCATGTCAGACTGAATTCCAGTATCGGCAATACTATAGTACGGAGACTGTCTTACTGCAAGTGACGAATGAGCTTCGTTGTGCTGTCGATGATGGGTGGATTGCTGCTCTAGTGTTGTTGGACCTCTCTGCAGCCTTCGACACAATCGATCACCATAGACTCTTGTCCAGGTTCACACAACAGTACGGATTTGAAGGTCATGCCCTTCAATGGGTGATGTCTTATCTATCTGACCGACAGCAATCTGTTGTCGTTGGCACTGAGAGATCAAAAGGCACTGTAATCACATGTGGGGTGCCACAGGGATCAGTCCTTGGTCCAGTCCTGTTTGTGTTATATACCAGATATGTCGAAAGGATTACTACAAACCACACAGTTTCTCACCATGCCTACGCTGACACCCAGCTCCTGAAAGCATTTCATCTGTCAGATCCCTCCACGTCTCTTCAGTGCATCGCTGAATGTACGCAGGACATCAAGTGCTGGATGACAGGAAACATGCTTAAACTTAATGACGCAAAAACAGAAGCAGTTCTCATTGGTACAAAGCAACAACTTAGCAAGGTCAAAACTGACTTCCTTACAGTCGCAGACGCAGACGTCAGTTTCTCTGATGTTGTTAAGGATTGGGGTGTCCACATTGACTCTTCCTTGACTCTGGATGCTCATGTTAACCGTCTGAGCAGGACCTGCTACTTTCACCTAAGATCCATTGGTAACATTCGGCAATAACTGACAACTGCTGCAACTCAAGCCCTTGTTCGAGCTCTTGTTACATCTACGCTTGACTACTGTAACAGCATCCTTTCAGGCCTCAGTTCTAAACTCCTTGATAAGCTTCAGAAGATCCAAAACACTTCTGCCCGCATCATCAGCAAGACTTCTAAACGTTCCCATATAACACCGATGTTGAAAGAACTGCATTGGCTACCAGTTAGGGCCAGAATTGACTTTAAGATCCTCTGTCTGACATACAAGTGCCTCCATGGTTTGGCTCCCTCCTACTTGTCTGAACTCCTACATCCGTATGTCCCCGCACGCAACTTGGGCTCAAACACACAAAATCATCCCATCCTACGAACTGAAATCCTTTGGACACCGATCATTGTTTTACTCTGCACCTGTGCTTTGGAACTCTCTCCCATGTGCCATTAAAAGCTCTGACACAATTGACATTTTGAAGTCCAGACTTAAAACCCAACTTTTCTCAGTATATTATGTATAACTTCATCTGTAAATACTCCAGTGTAAGTATTCTGTAGCGCTTTGAGCATGCCTTAGGGTGTGGAAAGGGCATATTATAAATATGCATTTATTATGTTTTACAGATTAAAGATAGTATGCAGCAGAGGGGGTTCGGGTGATCCTGGCACAGTCAGCCTGGTAAGGCTCATCATCAGCTCAGGGGCCTTGCCCCCTCTACACGCAGCCCAGAGAGCGAATGGGACTTCTCCCAGGATACGCTGCCTAGTCGAACCCACCAAGAACTTTCCGGAGAATATGAAGGCTCCCCAACACTGCAGCCTTCTGCATTACCCAGAGTGTCAGAAGGGCTGTGCTCCCGGTGAAGAACCCGGGCACTATCCTGATCTGCGCCAAGAGTTCAGGAGGTACCAAACCAAGGGCACTGAGAACAATGGGAGCCTAACGACAGTGTCCTTGGGATGCAAGCGAGACATTTCAAAGGCGAGATCCGCATATTTATCATGCTTTTCCTGAATCATGCCAATCACATTGCTGTCAAAAGGGACAGAAAATTGAATGACATAAATAAATTCATTGGCTTTATCAAAAAGGACAAGATCAGGTTTGTTGGCAGGAATTCTTCTGAGGCTGTATATGGGCCTATTCCAAAGAAGTTCGAAAGCATCATTTTCCATGACGCCCTGGACATGTTCAGGGTCGTACCATGGATGGACCTCGGAGTCAAAGCCACAGGCATGGCGGAGACAGTAGTAAAAGCAACGACCCATGCCATCATGTCGTTTAAGATATGCTGTTTGTGCCAAAGAAGAGCATCCACTGACAAGGTGTTGGACAGTCTCTGTAAATTCATTGCATAATCGACATTTCATATTGATATTTTCTTTAAGAATCACATTTTGGCGATTACGAGTTGGAAGTGACTGGTCCTGAGCAGCAAAAAGAAAGCCCCCAGTTTCACATTTGAGACCAGCCGACTTCATCCA